GCAATGGAGGGGATAAATGCTCAATATATGGTTACAGTGTAGTATAGAGGATTACACTTCTTGTTTACATCTGCGCTGCCTCCTGGTACAATATACTAAGGCGGAACATAGGGGATAGCATTTCTTGTTTCCGTGCGTCAGCCCATCTGTGCAGGAGTCTCCAGCCCAACATCGTGCCCTCCTGCATTGAAAGCTCTGCAAATCAGCTCTCCAAAAAACTCTGGAGTTCGCATGAGAAGTGAGAGTGGGGCGTTTTTTTTATGTGTAGGAAGGGGCTTTGGTATTTCAACCATGCACAATTACGATCCACCGGCAACCGACTTGGTGACCGGCAGTTTCCTGATCGTTTTGCAGAGCGCGAAGCCCAATCGGCTTAGCACTTCGAGTTTCGGAAAACCGACGAGTGAATTATTTGAATGCTACTCTTTTTATAAATAAACACTATCAGATATCTCTGGAAAACAGTAAAAGACTGGGAGTACAGGCCCTTGAACTCCGATTCGCGCATCGCCCACGCGATGGAGTACCCGCTAACTCAACTCAAAATAGCGCAGTCATCCAAGTTGGTATCGTCTATTCCCAACTTTTCCCCCCGCTTGCAGGAACCATCGTCGATCCATAGAGCCCGGCAGCCTGGCACTACAACAACACCCACACACGCAAGGTTCCTAAGCCACACAGAATGTGTAGGGCACACGCACCACTACAGAATGTGCAGACGGCGTCGTCCAAATTGCAGGACACCAATGGAACTCCCGTTGAAGGACAGAATAACAGAAGTAGGGCCTCGAGGCCCGGAACATTTAGGACACGTGGGCGGTCAACTAGTTTGACTGTGTTTCTTGTGTGGGCTACAATACTGTCTGTCTCAGCAGTTCTCCTTCTCCTGACAAAATGCGCCAGATTCGCGCACTTGTCGAATTTCAGGGCGGGTGGGGGACGACAGTTATCTGGAAAGGAAGGCGAATCGGANGGAGGGTCAATCGTGGCAGCACGTTTCGGGTGGCAGAGGGGACCTGCATACTGGCACGCAAAGTGCTTCGTTGCTGGCATGGGACGGATCCGCGCCTTCTTCTTCCGTTGGCACCCCAGGATTCCCCCAGGGACCTGCTACGCAGACGGACTATAGATTTTTGACAAGATCCGCTGACACGTGGGGGACCCGTGAGTTTCAAGGCGCAGGGCCATCCACTTCGGCAGGGGTCTCTACCATGCTGCTGCCATCTGCTGACGGGTCCCTGCCCCACCAGGGACCTGGCACGCAGACGGGCTATAGCTTTTTGAGAGGCTCCGCTGATATGTGGGGGTCTCCTGAGTCTCTAGGCGAAGGACCGTTCACATCTGCAGGGGTCTCTACCATGCTGCTGCCATCTGCTGACGGTTCGGTCCCCACTGCTTCTGCGGGATACGGCTCCTTGGCCCTTCCTGCGGCTGACAGCGCACCTTCATCATTTCAAGGTTTTCATGGGCCGAGTTCCGCAGCTTCCTTACACGCGCCTTTGGTTTTTGACGAATTCAACCCAGGCTTGGTGCTGCCTCAAGCCCAGCCCTGGGTGCCGCCGGGTGCCCCAGTTCACGACGTTCAGCCCAGCATACAGCGAAGCATGTTCCCTGCAATTGTTGGGGCATTGTCTCTAGGAAGGAGAACGCGTGAAGAATACGCACGGCCGTATCCACTTAATCCCCGAAGCAGGTATATGTCTGCTTCCGAACAAAGGGCAAGAATTTCATGGAAGCATGAACCTAGTATGCGCAAGCCTTCAACAAGCGCCAAAGAATCACAACTATTGGAAAGTGAATGGCGAAAAATGACTCAGGGGCTGCTTAGCGCTCTGGGGAACAGGGTTTTAGAGTCTCCCTCGGAGTCTCCCTCTAGTGACTCAATGTCGAGCTCGCCGTGTGAGTCGCCAGTTCCGTCAACGTCTGAGGACGCGAGCACCGCAGCGTTGGCCAGTGGAATGCAAAAGCCATCAGCTCCTTCGTCAGGGTCCCCTGGCTCTTCCCTAACCACGGACGAACCTATTGCCGCTCCGGACGATAATCCGACTCCAGAGCCCGTCGCCTCGACGACTAGCCCTAAGCCTGCCGCG